ACTGATCAGATTAAGGTGATAAAGAAGCACAATGAAGTGCAAAAAGAAACTGTTTTGTCCATGGCAATACAACTAATCATATACATGTCAGACTTTTAGTTTGGAGTTAAACTTTAGTTTCTATGCACAAATAAAATCTCCACGACATTTCCAAGTTTCATCTTCTAAGGTGTACCTTTTCTTGTTAACCATGATAAACTTATACTTTCATTGGTTTTCAACTTTTATGCCTTTGTAAAGTATGCTAACTTAATCCATTGAAATTTTTCCAGGATTCTATCTTGTATATATTCTTTAGCCTCTGAACGAATTCATTCAATACTCGAACAGTTTACCAGTGATAATTACAGCTATAGACTTGATCAACAAATTGTCAAGGAGATTATAATTTTTTCGAAATGAATTATAAAGTGCTTAAAATGTAGTTCAGTGGTTTATGATCCAATCCCTGTAGTCACCTAACACTAAATATAATCCGGTTAGTGCTCATAATCCATGATTAAACTTGGTTCTTGAGGAATTTCGACAGCTTCTAAAAGGAAATCAACAAACCGTTAATCGAGAATTATTTCGAAATCCATTATCCAGAACTCCTTGGATTAGTATCTATAGTCGTTAGCTTTCTTTCTTTTCACCAATAAATTTTAGGCAATGATTTAGAGTAAACGGAAACCAACAACTTGGACAGTTATATTTTGATGGATTATTTCCTATGTATCAATGAAGCTCTGATAAGATAATTATTACGTAGTGCGGTATCTCTAGCCGCTTTTATACGCTTTCCTTTGATATGTCAATTACTATCCTCAATCTAACTATTCACCTAAGTAGCTTTCTGCACTACTTATAGCATGTATGTTGTGCGGCGTCGTTATCCATATGTATGAAATCATAAGTTGTTAATTAAAAAATAACCTGGGAACGTTCTCTATTATATCATCCTGTTTTCATTTCTTTCAACGGCTCTCTAATAAAGAAAATCACAGTGATGTGCAAACAATATTTCTTAATGAAGTGTATGCATTCTCATAATGACGAAGAATATGATTGCTACATCAGTATTTTTGTATAAAATCACGTGACTAGAACAAAATTCACACTCACTGTTAGAAACCTATCACCACCGATTTTCTCATATATTGACGCCATTAACAATATTTTAGCCGAGTTTACCTCTCAGAGGTAGCTAAGTAACCACCGTTGAGGTTTCAATTAAATTGATTATTTTAAAAACATGACCAGCATCAAAACTGTCTGGTGTAATTGCTGCTTAAATGATGTTGTCTTATGATACAGGTAGGTAAGTTTTCAAAATCAAGTAATTGCTTCTAACTTTGTGAATATAGCTCTCTTTTAGCCTCAAAACTGTGAAATTTAATTTGAATAATATCTATACATGTAGGTAGTGAATTCTTGTAATCTTAGTTACACCCTTTTAGACAATAAGGTAACCACGGCAACTAGCAATCTAGAGAAAAACCAGTCTCCACAAACTACACTTTTGTGATCCCTATTGGATATCTACCTGTATCAGCTGATAACATTTAGTAGCTCATCTCTTATCAAGTGAAGCTACTGCTTACCACCTAGTAAATACTCTAAAGTCGTTGAGTACAGTTATGTAGAAAAAGAATATATGAGAACAACGATCGCTGATCATATACATCATTACAGAATTCTCGATACGTTATGTTCGAAATAAGCTGAATAAATTGCATAGAAAATAAATCATTCCATAATCCTGTAAAATTACAGTGATTATCAAAATTTGTTCAAACCTTCAAGTGAGCTTCTGAGATACAAATCTACTTTATCATTGTGAAACCTGCAAGTTAAAAGTTTCCAGAAAGAATATACATTGTTGATGAATCCAAAAATCGAAGATGAAACTGTTACTAAGTTTTTCTCTGCTTTGAACGGTAATACACTTGATTTTAGTTGAGGATAAAAATTTCGCCTAAAAATGTATCTAGTTAACTAACTAATAAGTCAGAGTATTACTCATACACTCACACTGTCAAAATATAGTTTTGTTAGATGCTTGAAACTTCAGCTACGGTGGAAGTTTTAACAGATGGACGGATTTCTTCAACGGAAGGCAATAATTACTATTTATTGATATGCTTGTAATTCTCCATTGTTTTATTGGATCGAATTGCTTGACCTCTATTGGCATATGGGCTCCTATGCGGATGCCTCGATACTGCCTGGATGTTATGACAATTTACTTGGTTGCGGCTAGCAGACGAATCCAGGACACGCGTCTCGTCCTATTTGGGACTCGTCAGATGGATGTACCTACACCCCAGTGCGGAGTGATATTTCTCCTGCTGAAACTTGAAACTCGTACCCATCGCTTCAAACGCCAAGGCCACCATGCCACGGATACACGACAGCCACTTCTTGTACGACGGGTATTAGTTATTACTATTTATGGATATGCTTGTAATTCTCCGTTGTTTTGCTGGATCGAATTTTTCGGTGATAATACTTAAAAAAAAGAGTAATGAGTGTACCTGAAACATCCCTTACTCTGGCACCAATATTTATTATTGTGAACTGTGTGCAATAAATGGAGTGAAAAAGCAGGCTAGTTAGTAAAACTTCGCAACAATCAGAATATATAAGCGATTCCTAAGTCTTTCAAAGTAAAGGGCTATTTACAACAGCTTACCTTACTCTTTTCACTCAATGTTCAAGTAGTCTTTACTGAATAACAGATAAAACCAAATCTTGTTTAAGGACTAGGGATTGTATGCTTTTACCAGAAGAACAAAGTCAGAAGTATGAAGTTATACTACGTTATTTTACTACTTTTTGAGCTTAACTGCTGAAGTAAAGGGTTATATGATGGTAATCAAATAACGCAGAAAAAGACTGGCATGTTTACACATTTTCGTCATCAAAATGATAGAATTACACCGATTTGCAAACTGCCTAAAATTCCCTACTTTCGGGGTTAGTCATGAAATTCACGTATTACAGAGGTACTTTCTATGAACTATCTTAAACGCCATTCGCACTACAAATCAATATCCGAAATGATTACTGTAAATCGCAGAGTAAAAGAAATTAGTTTTTTTTCGGCTCTCATACTCATTGTTCTGCCATTGCTCAGTCATGACTCAGTGATGTAACCCCCTCGATTTTCATTTACTGTTTTGAGTTCGAACACTATATTATAAAGATTTATTTAGTGTTATTCAATCTAGCATGCTCATTTATCCAATAAACTGTGAGCCACACTTGTTGTGTGACAGCTTATGATACTACGCAGTTGAATTCCTAAGCTAGTAAGGTACATCAGGACTGAGTAAGGAGTATTTCACTATCTAACCAAATGCTTTAGGCTTAGTAGATAGAACGCTACTCTATCGGCTAAGTTTAGAGCGTCTGAGAAACAGCTGAAATAGCTCTCAATCAGTACACAAACCTATGCGTAAGGACTGTGTAGAATTCTTTATTCTACTCAGAAATCATTGAAAAATGTTCAAAGTACTTGGGAAGTATATTATCTCTTAATGACTGCATATGATTAAGATAATAAGCATTTCCAAATAAATAAGTTGCTGAACTGAAATGCCATTTATGAATCATCAGTTAAAGTATTAAATGTTTACCAAGCACCAGTCAGTCATTTTTGATAGCTTCAGAGACTGGAATCAAATATCATCCACGTATCAACTTGGTGACCTTACTGACCCACCGCATACCAACTCGATATCATGAACTAGGAAGAAATATTTGTCATGACCACTTCTACTATGTCAATCTAGTCCGTGCTAATAAACAGACAGCAAATAAGCTCAATATACAATCTGGGAGTGGAATGTGTCTGTTGAAGTTACAACAATTTGAGTACGAGAAATAGTGTATGGAAAAAGCGATAGTAGTCTAGACAAATGTGTATGAAAGTTGAGCGAATAAATGGATGAAGGTTAATGAAAATATTCAAGAATAAGAAGACCGATTCTCAGCCCTGTCATCAACCTTTTATCTCAAAGATAGAAGACAGGCAGTCTATACCTCCCTACGCAGCTTACACAAACAATCAAAGACTTCATGGACTGGTTCCACATCATCGTCTAGCCACTCTGAGCTTTCTTCCGACTTAATCCAACTTCGCCTAGCATAGCGCATCGAGGTAAGCGGTGGCTCAGCATGCGCGACACATGTTTAAGCCACCTCAGTTGCTGAGAGTTCAAAACTTACCTATTGACCTGTCTCACTTGCTTAGTAGCCTCCGCCTGATTTTGACATTGCTCACGTGGTGATTCCACCTTAAGCTAGAAGTGCTACGAAGACACCTATGCTCCAGGACCTGCAATCCCTTCCCTCGATAGTCTCACAACCGTGTACTAGGACAGATGAACTACATAGTAGCATACTCGTTCCTTAACAAGTAGTCGAATATCACGCCAGAGATGATGTAAGTTGCCAAATCCCAAACAGGTTTTCTATATCCAAGCTGATATTTCTTCAGTAGCCAGCCTGTTTGGGTTAATGCAACTCACCAAGTAAGTGAAGCGGTCAGCGCACCACTTCACTCCCTATCCTTAAACTAGGAGTGGTTGCAGACCAGTCCTGATATCTGACAGGTTCGAAGTGCATGCCAAACATCAGTAGGTTTCTGCTCAAGACGTTAAGGAAAGCCTGAATTTTGTCAGCATAGTCATCAAATAGGACAATATCGTCAGTGTGCTCCAAGTCAGTCAGACACCCTCAACGAACTAGGTTTTAAGAAAAATGGGAAGAGAAAAAGAAACGATAAGGCGATATAAAGTGATGATATAAGAAATCTAGGTTCGGATTGGATTTCAAACTCCAAGTCCATACAGTGCAAGACTGACGAATGTATGTTATGGAATACTGAAACTAGGTTCAAACTCTCACTCACCACACCTTACGTTTTATGAAGTGTTATTTGTCTTACTCATCCAAGCTATCATTCATGATATAATGGCTTACTAACTGGATTTCATAAAATGGAAGAAACACCTCAGAATATTACATTTATTTAGGAATGTGCAGTTTGAAAAGTCAATCCCTGAGCCGAACGCCTTGTTCTTTATAACACATAAATGAAAGCTAAATACAGTCATGATTCTCAAATGGTGCAACTACCATCACGAAAAAGAAGGACAAATATCAGTGATAGTGAAAGATAACAAAACTAAAAGGAAACCATTTTAGTTTTAGTACTACACAAATTTTTATTTCATTTATAATCAATTAGAAAAATAACGAAAAGAGACTGCATTGTTTACAAGAAGAGAATAGTACAAAGTTAATGAGAACGAATGAATGTGCACGTATGTGTATTTCTCTCGATGAATAATGATATACGCTGCTATCCACTTATGAAAACGTAACGAAATTATGAAGCAAATGCTATTCTGTCACATCATGATATTAATTAATGTCCACCTGTCCTACCTCCAAATATTGCTTCATTCCAAATTTAAAATATCAGAGTAGTGAAGATATGAATTCAAACAAAACATATTCACAATTGAACACACTGATATATTCGAAAACAGGTAATATAATGTAACACAGCCAAAACAATATAAAATTGATCAAGATGAATCTTTATTTAGTTAATAATTTACCAATTAACTGAATTACTAATAAAAATAAGATACTTTTATGATGAAATAAACAAATAGGATGTTGAACATGTGGTAGTATCTTTTTTTTTAATTAAAGGGTGAATTTTTACGCTTTCACCTTAAATCATGAACCTTACTTATGTGCCTGCTTGAAATAACCAGTTATTCAGTGATAAGCATTCACTAGTTGTTTATATATATCGAATAAGTGTATCGTCTTCGGTAATAATACCAAAAGTTAAAGAATCGTAGTTTAACCAAAGTATGCAGGAGCAATTTTTATACTTAAAAAAATAATAACAATAGATTAGTAATATGTGAAAGTTAATAAACACAGACTATTATGTCTAATGTGAGTGGTATATTACGTGAGTCTATATATGACAGAAACGAGGATAGTGATCACATTCTACTCCATTATATGGGCTCACACACACACGCGAATATGAGAAACCTGTGATCAACCTCAACAAAGAAACGTTTCAGGGACAATGAAACAGACAGAAGATACGATCAAAAAATCCTTTAATACTGAAGTAATATCAGGCAATCTTCTCAACATTAACATCAGTTATTAACAGATCATCCTCTCCTGTATCTCTAGCTACCGTTGTTGGTAGTGATTTTTCCCCTGATGTCATCGTCATTGTTTCTGCCATTGATATCACTGTTGGAGCCAGTTTAATTACCGTCTGAGAATGTAAAGATACATTCTTGTCTTCACTGAACGATGGGTGAGTTGATTGACTTGTAGACTTAATATTATGAAGTAAATGGGTTGATGAGGTTGAACAGGAGATACTGAAGGCATCATGCATATCATTAAACAAACTTTCAGATTCAATTGCAGGTGGACTGGAATTTGATCGAAAGGGCGACTTAGATCAACTAATTCATCGTCATCATCATCTAAAAAATGAAACACAGGAAAAACGTATAGTCTTTAGTGAAAAATAATTTCTTATTCCCGATGAAAGCAAGAGAAAGCATAAGAAGACGGAATGTCCGCACAGTGTCTGAAGCTGGCTGGCAAGGATGACCACAGTGCAAAATAAATGAGAAAATATGGCAAAGTGCTAGCGATCTGCGAGATCATATGGGATAGAATGGAAGTGAACTTTCCTAACTGTCAACTAGACAGTCAATAATCTACTCCGATATTGTCACCCAGCACCACCACCACCAGCACACTGACTTTTGGAGTGGCTATCATGATTTCCCCAACAGCATCGATGGCTCTCTTGCAGTAGGAGCCAATCTCCTCCTCCGGGACCATCACAGCAAGGTTCAACTCAAAAGGAAGGAAAGTCACAATAATATAATGCTACACTACCCAACTGCAAATAATGTAGATCAAGATAAGAAAGAGGAATTCTACAGACAACTGCAGTCAGTACTAAACAAGACTCCACCCAAACTGGCGACATCAAAATCCATCCCAATGGGTGGGGTGACATGAATGCCAAACTCGGAGCGGACAACACAGAAAGAGAACTCATCATGGGTTGAGAGGCACTTGGTGAAATGATGAATGAGAATAGAGGACTGTTTGCAGACTTCTGCGCATTTAATGACTTAGTGATTGGAGGCAGTGTGTACACATACAAGGATATTTACAAAGCCACATGGATTTTACCAGACACCAGGACAAAACCAGATCGACATCATCTCAATGTGAAGAAAGTGGAGACGCAGTCTACTGGACACTAGATCAGATCAAGAAAGGGAACAGATGTAGGTTCACACCACTCACTATCTAGTGCACGGCACCTACCTTCGAAATCAAGTTGAAGACACTCACAGAAGTTGGTGATAGACGACCACAGTTCAAGTTGAACATCCAGAGTAGAAAGTGAAGGACGAAACAACTACAAAGGACATCTTCACACCAGCCATCAGGACAAAATGGGAGACACTGAGCAACATCCCTGATGAGACCTGTGAGGAAGAACAGTCGAACTCCTTGAAACAGATATGGAAAGAAACCTGTATAACCGTGTTAGGAAGTAAGAAGAAAGAAGACAAGACAAGGAGTGGATCTCGATGGACACATAGAAGCTGATAGAGGAGGGAGAGGAGGATGGTGAAGCAGAAGATAAAGGAGTGCAAGGATGAACAACGAGAAGAGGAACTGAGTACAACGTATGGAAGATTACACTGGACAAAGAGGTGAGGAAGAGTGCGCGCAAAGACAACAGACACTTCCACTACAAACTGGCAAGTGAAGCAGAACAGGCTGCAATCAGGAAAGACATTGACATGACAACATTATATCGAACAACCAGGTTGCTGTCTGGAAGGGGAGAGATCAACGCAGATGAAACCAATGAAAGATAGTGAAGGAAAGCTAGTTACCAAATAAGAGTAACAAAGGAAACGATGGGCTGAACAGACACGAATACAACAGCGGACATGCTCACACTACTATTGCAGAAGATTTGGAAGGAAGGAGGAGAAGGTATCTTCTGACAGAAAGAAGGGCTACCTTGTCAAACTCCCAAAAAGGAGAGACGTTTTTGCAAGATCTGATGCAGAATCATGCTTTTCTCCACCCAAGCAAGCAAAATATTACGCCCCGTCATCCCGGAGAAACTAAAACATGGGCCGCATTCAGAATTAAGACCAGAATACAGTGCCTTGCTTCAGGAAGAACAAATCATGTGTGAATCAAATTGCAACGCTTCGCTACGCATCACCATAGAACAGAGCATAGAGTGGCAGTCAACTTTCCACCTCAACTTCATCCACTTTGAAAAGGCCTTTGATAGCGTCTATTGAGAAGTAATTTGGAAACTGCTTCAACACTACGGAGTGCTACAAACCTCCATCAACCTCATTCAACAGCTGTATGAAGACGCCACATGTAGGAAAAAAACAAAGGAAAGGGGACAAGACGGGATAAAAGTTTTTAAATTCTCATAACAAAATGTAAAATTAAGAAAAATTTAAGGGATAAGTGTGACCGTTATCAGTCCATGAATTCAAAGTGAAGATGTGAATGTACGTGTATATGTGAATAGGTGTGAAGGTGTTCAGAATTGTTTCTACAGATTAGGATATGTTGGTTGTGACACTTATTATTTCGAGAAATCATCCCATGAGGTTCTCATTCATGCTAAAGAACAGAAAACAACCTCCAAATAATCCTGTAGAACTGGAAAATTTACAAATCTAATTGGCAGTAGCTGTTCATGACATCTTTCGTAGTCAAACTACAAGGAAATACGGATGGGTGAGGCATTTCATTTTATATTGAATCCTAATCCACTCAATGCAAAGGAGGTTTTAACTATGCAAGCAACTTGGATGGTATATTCGAAATAATACATTGCATACATTGGTGATAACTAAAGTGCATGCATATAAACAAACTGAATTCTTTGTCCATAGTATTTTTCATACAATTCTTTCCCTTCACATATTTAAATAGAGCCAGAGTGCTATTTCTCGTCATCTTAATGATAGTGAACATGATGTCGACAAACAAAATTCGTTCAAAATAATTAGGAAACAGACGAATTCGAATTTGCTGCGTTTCACTAAAATGTTAGCCATTAAACGATTAAAATTAAACTTATCAGTCTATATTTACCATGCTAAAGACTTGTTTTGTTGAAAATCATCATGCTTTTCGAGCGACTTTAAGGGCTACTCTAGAAACTAATAACGTAGCCAATCAGGTTGCACCATTTTCGATGGGGAAGTACTTTTTCGTAAAATACAGAAATCTAGTTGGTTAGCTTAATAGTTTCTGGGATGGCCTTTAAAGTCACTCTACTTTTCACATATCACTGTCGATTAGTAAACGTTAGTTATCTTTTTCGTTTGTCCCTATTCTAAATTTCATACTCTTGACCTAATTATCGGCATCCTGCTCACATTAGCTCTTAGTTAGTAAATCTTATGACGCTTATACACAGTTTGTGTAGTCTTTTGTAATACGCCGAATACACTTGTCTCCCCCACCTATCCAAACTTATGCTCTGGAATATTCTTCCAATCCTTCTATTTATTGGCAAAACTTGATTCTTCATATGTATTCAATCAACTCATGTTTTTAATTACTTTATATTGATGATATCTGTAATTCTAGTCGACAATTTTCCATCAAACTGATTCAAGTATGCAAACCTTCTGTGTAACTTGGTGGTAAAATTGTTTTCGGTTGTAAGCAGCCGACCAGAAACCACAAGAAAAAATGGATCTATGCTATTCTGCTAAAGCTATAGTATTTTCTCTTACACCTTCACAACCATTCACATCTTCACCTTAAACTCATGGACTTATAACTGATAACGATTACACTTATTTCCATATTATTATCATGCATGAACAATATGATCCGGTTTTTTGCCATTTAGTATTTAAATATATGGTAAGTTGTACAGATTTTATTCTCTGAAGAAGTGACTTCCACGAGGTTGCGAAACGTCAGAAATTTACTTTTCTACCTCAGTGGGATTTTGCAAAAGTATTTCATTCATATAGAATTTCAAAGTTTTAGTGTTATTGCTTGTATTACACCGTCGTTGATTGGACCGAATTGATCAGTCTCTGTTGGCATATGGGCTCCTATGCGGATGCCTCGATATTACCTGTATTTTAATTATGTATAGTAATAATGGGCAGTGGCTAGCAGTGGAATTCAGGATGCGCATTTCGTCCTATATGGGACTCGTAAGTTGGATGTACCTGCCTCCCAGTGAGTGATGTTGTTCCCATGGGGATTCGGACTCGAGAGCGACCACTTCAAACGCGAAAGCGTTGTCCACTACACCACCGAGCCATGATAGCCACTTCTTGTGCGACGGGTATAAATTTAGTGTTATTGCTTGTATTACACCGTCGTTGATTGGGCCAAATTTATCAGTCTCCGTTGGCATATGGATTTTACTGCTAGCCACTGCCCATTATTACTGTATATAATTTCAAAGTTTATTAATGAGTAAGTCCTTGTTACCTAAAGGGATGGCAGGTTTATGAACAGTTGGAGTGAAATCAAAATGGATAGCTTGTCAAAGAAAAGAACAATAATTCTTTGACGGTATTGTAAAGATGCTTTATCCAAGTCAATTCACTGAAAATCCATGTTATTTAGTATTTTTAAAGAATAATCTAGAATACGGTGTTGCGTAGTACAATAAAGCCAATAGTGGTGTAACCTTCTTTCATCTTTCAATAAACACCGTGGAATCAGGGATAGTTTTCAACTTAATATTGTCAACCTCCGCAATTATAAGTTGATATCATAGACAGTGGAGCTAAGATGATGTTTGTGGGCTACGGACTGTCGTGGCCTTTGAATAGCATATATACTGAAATGTCTAAAAATCTCACCATCACAAATACTGCCTAAGCATTATTTCATCTCACTAATCCCTATCGAAAATCTCATCAATATCGTGTATATTTCAACACAACAGTTTATTATCACCCTTTGCGTTTCATTTTGACACCTAATCACTTAATCATTCATGATGAAGCAAATCTCCATTCTTTTCTGATGCTTACACATACTTCAACGAGACCTTTTTAATCAGTACTGAGTGACTCGTCACTCAAAACTACATCATAACATGAGAAGATACACTAATTACATGAAGGACTTTCGAATGTATCAAAAGTAGACACTAGATTTCAATACATATAACCTGAAAAGTTTTCAAAATGATGTTCTTCAGAAAAATGAAACGTTGACCAAAAAATTCAAGTACTGACATGTGAGGAAGAAAATGATCATCAACTTGCATTTCTTGATATACTCTTGTGTCGAAAGGAAGATGGATCTATCAGACGGCCAATCTATAGAAAGTTTACTTGCACAGGACAGTACTACAGCTTTTGTCCAGTGAAATATAAGAGAGGCATAGTAAGATGCTTACTCAATAAGATCTAACATATTTGTACACCTGATACAATGGATGATGAGAGCAAGTTTCTGACAGACACACTCATGGAAAACGGATATCCATTACAGTTTGTGAACCGTTGTGAAAAAAAGTTAAACCCGAATCTCATAACTTCCTCGGTCCTGAAGAAGGATACATTTCTTGAAGTACTATACAGAAGGGAAACGAGTAGTATGAGACAGAGAGTAAAATCTGTTATCAGTAAAACAAACTATGCAGCTCAGCTTATCATTGTTGAGACAACAAAACATCTGCTTTGCTACAAACCTCAACGTCGCATAGGTGAACACCACATCCAGCTGTGTTTACTAATTCGCATGTATGTGTGGGCACACATACACAGAGAGGAGTAATAGTGTTATGCAGACTAGGGTATGTGAACAAATATCGAAATGGCTTGAAAAACTGTTTAACACAAACTTTGATAAGTGCAAGTGACAGACATCCATTTTCATCTACAGCAAAACGTATCATCGAAATGAACCATCAGGTTATTACGAAAACAGTATTCAAGACATTATATAGGAACAGTCAGGGGGAAATACTGAAATTTGCCGAAGCGTTAGCCATTCGTAAACTTAAGCCCCCGTTGTGTGCCATAAAAATTTATTGTTTCACTTAATTTATCTTGGTAATCCTTATTTGATTATACTGCCAAGACTAGTGTCACAATCTCTTCATGTTCATTATATGAGACCTTTCATTTTCATATATAAATTGACTTCACAAGTCAATATGTAATCAGATTGTGCGAAATGTATGGCGCAAATACATCACATTTTTCAGATAATCTTCGTCTTCTAATAATGTTAACGAAAAATCAGCTATCTATTAGTTACAGAACGTGCTAGATACAAACTTCAAGAAGTACTAAGTAAGACGTTGATTTTCCCTACGGGAGTTCACCTATAACAAAACATTTATCTCTACAGTACGTTTAGTAAGTCATCGTTATTTTGAGTAAACTAAACACTTTACAAATTATTATTATCATTATTTGTCCTTTGGGTTCCCAGTGGAACATACGACTTCAGCAGCACGTCTCCATTGCACTCTCTTCTTAACTATCTGGCTCAACCAGGCTTCACGATTGCCCATAACCTTTCATTTATTCCTCACATCATCTCCTCCGTATCACCCTCAGCTCAGACGCCCAACTCATCGTTTCCCATGCGCGTCCCACTCAACGGCCTGACCTGGCGAGTGGTGTCCCAGTCGGTCATCTCAGTGTTTCTCCAATCCAATCCATCTCCACTTTCTTCTCCACATTTGTTGGTAATAGATCCTTGGTTGGTTCGTTGCCAGCCAGCCAGCCAGCCAGCCACAGTTCCTTCTTGCTTATTCTTATTATTCTGGCCAACTGATCTTCACTATCGAGCCAGCTACACAGATGTTGATGAATTTCAGTAGTTTGTTGGAAATGCTTTCCGTAACTCGCAAAGTCTCTCAACCATCACATAGAAGCACTGACTTGACTGACATTAGTGTTGAATATCCGGATCTTGTTCACGCTTTATGCTGAGTGCAGTAGATCTCCACACTGACTATTTTAGACTAATGAGAGCCTATCTTGCTTTTCCGATCCTAGTTTTGACATCCTCATCTGTGCCACCGCCTGTAGTTGAAACGGTGCTGCCTAGACAGGTAGGTGGAAGAAAATACTTCTCTTAGGTTTCTCCCGTTGATGGTGATTGGTGCTTGTTGTTGTTGTTGATACTGTTGTTCTTTGGGTATCTTCATCACCATCGTCTTCTCTACGTTCACCTGAAGGAAGTTCCGTCTTTGCCACCTTGACTCTTTTGCCAACTTGTTAGTTTTCGCCTGTGGATCTTCAAGTTTGTGCGACATGGACATCAATTATCGGCGAAATCTCAATCTTCTAGGGTCTTTTCATCAGTCAAACTGTGTCAGTTTCTTGCATGACCCAGTACAGTTCAGTCGACCACAATCAGGAAGATCATTGGTGATAGTGGTCGGCAACTTTGTCTCACTCCTGTCTTCCCTTCAAAGGCGTCACTGAGCTTTCCACTGTGAATCGCTGGGCATGTGGGATTGTCACATAGTTAATGAATGAGGTTGATGGAGGTTTGTAGCACTCCGTAGTGTTGAAGCAGTTTCCAAATTACTTCTCAATAGACGCTATCAAAGGCCTTTTCAAAGGTGGATGAAGTTGAGGTGGAAAGTTGACTGCCACTCTACGCTCTGTTCTATGGTGATGCGTAGCGAAGCGTTGCAATTTGATTCACACATATTTGTTCTTGCTGAAGCCAGCCTTTTCCAGTCGTAGTTTTGAATCCAGCGCATCCTTTATTCTCTCTAGTACTATTAGGCATAATATTTTGCTTGTTTTAGGTGGACAACAGCATGATTCCACGCCAGTTCTTGCAAAGGCTTGTGTCTCCCTTTTTCGGGAGTTTGATAAGGTAGCCCTTTTTCTAATTTGCAGGTACGTTACTTTACAAATACAACACCTTTAATAATACGAATTGCCTTCAAAGAGATCTATTTCATACACAGACAAAAATTCTTGATTCACGCAAAAAAGGATAGTGTGAAATGATTATGTAGTGAAACATTCCTCCATGTTATTGATTGTATTGCTTATACGCAAATGAAGCTTTTTGTGCACACTTTCTTACTTTCCTCTCATTGGTTATCTGTCGTTGAGTGAACATTTACTGTTTTCTGATTGGTCAAGGTAATGAGTTGGTAGTCAGAAAAATTAAAGTTGTCATTTTCACCTTTTACTGGATGTAGCTTGTAAGTTGTTCGCTGTTAAATCACCCGAATGTTAGGGATGCCTATATCCCTTATATTCCATACCTACAGTTTGTATATATTTGAAGTGGTTTATTTCGCACTCTTTTCCCGTGCATGGGTCATATTTCATATGACCCGCTATTGTTCCGATTGGCTCCAGCCTCTTTAAATGTACTTATCACTCCTTGTCTTTCAAGGTTACTGTGAACTCCATAAATAGGATCCGTTTTCACTCATAAATGTTTTTAATCCAAGATACTGTAAACTCATCTGATTTCTAGTCCTTTCATTTCTCTTTGCGAACCACTCGGGTTGAATCGTCTCAACCTTCGACTATCAATCGTAAAGTATTTCCGTTCGTTCTCAGAACTCCGCATCATAACGACCCATTTATATATATTTGCTAAATATAGGGTCATCGACTGCTGATAAGAGAAAATTAGACAGCTTTCTGACGTCACATGACTCAGGTACGTTTACTCAGCTGAATTAAAACAAGCAGCTTCAAGTGATACTGGTTATATCAAATAAACCAAACATCATCCAGTTTAAGCAACAGTCCAACATACCAACTTGAAATGAAGACTGAGTTTCCGGAAATTGTGGCTGCAAAAGAGAATTATGCACACCAGCATCATTACAAGCATGATGTTGAGTTGTTGCATCTGTGCTTAACAAGGGAGTTCTCTCTCCTCCAGCTTCATAATATCCACTAGATTGCTGAGAATCTACAGAAAGGCGTCGATCATTTCGTTCATAACTATTACGTCGAATAAAATTATACAATCTCCTCGGTAGATATCTCAGTAATTCATTATTGTAAACTTCTGTTTCATTCTCAACTGGCACTGATGGTGCTCCTTGCAGCTCTACTACTTGATTACATATTGGACAACGTCGGCGATTGCACAACAACCAGGGGTCAATACACTTCATGTGGAAAGCTTAAAAGAAAAAAAACAAATACAGAGGCATAAACAATACAACTGAGACACAAACTGATAACATTTATATCCAAGATAGGGTGCGTGACAGTAACGATTTGTGTTACAATGAAAAGTAAGGTACTAAAGCGGAAAACCAAGAGTTTACCTTCTGAATTTACAAATGCTCTGAAAGAAGATAAAAACTTATACCATGAGTCGATAAAAAAACAGCTGCCTCTTTGACTGCTGATTACTCAAATTGACACTTAACGCATGAATAAATGAATGTTTGCGTCTGACTAGCTTCTTATTATATACATGTATCCATGTGATAATAACCGAATGTGTCATCCTTATTCCATTGGTAATTGATGTACATGTCACTGTTATCAACCTTCTACTCTTACTGATACGTACTTATGCATATTTGGGATCAAGTAGGATGACCACTACTTGAGCATTTTTTTGCCCAGGAATTTCATTATACATAAAAGAGCAGATTCTAATAACTTCATCATGTCTACATAGATAAAAGTAAGAGAATTTACCCCTCAGCTTCCCAGTACAGACAGCTAAATGTAACTCCAGACTAATTGCAGATTCAGTTAACAAATAAGACGGAAAGTTGCTACGATAAGTGAAAAGAATCAGCAATTCAAACAATTATATCAAATACATTTGACATTTCATAGAGCTTGAACAATCTCCAACACACTTCTGTTGACTCTGATTTCACTCTATTTCTACCGATTTGTTCTTGGAATACTAATGTGAATTGTGACAACATGAAACGATGTACTTCTATGAGAGATTCTATGTTGGTTTTATCTGTCCGACTATGAGAGAAATACGATAATGTACGATATGTGAGTTCCCCATATTAACCACCAGCATCATTTCATAACTGTGACCACACTTAAGTGAGAAAAAGGATGTTATATGCAAACCTTAACGTCTACTCAACAACCACTCAGCCCTGTCATCTTTTCATACTAAAAGCTCCTATTTCACAGATATGCTGGAATATACAGTGAGAAAAAAATGTGCAAATAAGAGGAGTTAGAATGAAAACTATATTATTGAAATGCATAGCTATTGTGTAGGATCAGCCAAATAAGGAATAGAAAATGCTCGAAATTTCAATGCTATTGTTTGCGTCAGTACTAATGAGTAGGACTTTTATATCACTGACAATACAAATTATAAACCTTAGAAGCGATGTATCTATCAAGTTCTTAGTGATCAGCGCTGATCAAAGTTTATCGACCAGGTCCCCAATATGGCCACTGAGTTAAGTGATGAAACACTGCGGTGCACCATACTTTAGGTATTTGGAAACAATCGACAGAACGCCCTTGACATAGGTTTTGTGTTTGTTAGAACTCACCAAAAGAAAAACATGTGCCATGGAAGATTCGAATCACTCAGTGCTGAAGTCAGACATGTTATCAGTTAACTAACTAGTTCGGATCATGATCGGCTTCGTCGGTGAACTTCTTCCACAGCTGAGTAACTGGGACTTAACAGCTAACATTGATCACTGGCTGTGACTAATTCATTTTCATATTCCAGTTTGTTTTAAACCAGGAGCTGATTAGCTGAGTGGTAAAGTTTTCGACTCCACCACTGAGTAACATGGACTGCTTCTCTAAAGAAACAGAAGTCCCCGAAAAACTGAAAATATGCCTTTCTGTTGTGTGCCAATAAGCAAACAACTTAGACCAAACACAGCTTATTACCAACTGACTCTTAACATGTAACACCGAAATCCTATTTCAATTTGTGAATAATAAATTCCTTAGAACAGAATTCCCAGAATTTGTTCGTTGGGATAAATCTTCAAAGAAAGGAGAACTGAGAAGTCTTTTACAGGGATAATGCAGATTAAAATGTGAGTGGGTACAGACTAACATTTCGTGGACGGTATCTATCAACATACGACTGTAGTTTTTAACTGTCTCTTCTTGGCAAAATCAGAAACAAAACAAAAGTCGATTTCAAACAGTCCTTAAGATGATCGTTATTTCAGCAATATCTCCCCAAACCGTAGCCAGGTACTTACATTAATTTCGCCGAATATATACTGCAAAACAAATACATTTGGATTACATCTTTCTTTAAGTGACAAGATAGTTTAATCTATCACCCAGATTTTATGTTAATCATATCTTCAAATGATGTCGTTACAACTTGTAGCATTATGTAAAGAGTATTTGAGTAGTGTTTTATGTTAATTTGTTACACCTTAATTCAAAACGACATTCAAATATACTTTGAACTGCATCATTCGACAAGTGGAATCATCTTAATTTTATATTTCAAAACCGATATAAATATTTTGATATTGAAAGATATTATAATGTAAACTGATCCAAATAATCTATGAAATGAGCTGAAAAAAGAATGAACTTCAAAGGATATGGGTACTGAATACACCTATCGATAAATTACAGAATCTTTAAAGTGTACCTCATAGGAAGTGACCAAAATGGAAATCATTACTCAAAGTAATTCGCCGTTTGGGATAGAAATATTTTCGTTTCACATCTTTGATTTACGTCCATGTCCATGGTCAGATTAATTTCACTCAACAATTTTGTTCTTCAGTCAACCGGTGATCTACAGACTTCGTTTTCTCACTAGAAGCTGTACATAAATAGCATGTCTTGGTTAGGGTTAGGTTTTCTGAGCTGGTTGTTTAATCATGGAGCTTTCATCGCATTGCTAGACGACATCATCAGCACTAACTTCAGTATGAAGTGAGCTGTCAATATCTCTCCGTGAGTGATTTAGTAGCTTGCCTGACGATGTGGTCACAGACCCCATTTGATCTTCAGTGTCAGTATTGAGTGAGAGTAGATGGCAGCTGTTGATGTATGATCTCTGCAGTTTGTTGGAAATGCTTTCGTAACTCGCAAAGTCTCTCAACCATCACATAGAAGCACTGACTTGACTGACATTAGTGTTGAAATCCGGATCTTGTTCACGCTTTATGCTGAGTGCAGTAGATCTCCATACTGATTATTTCAGATTAATGAGAGCCTATCTTGCATTTCCGATCCTAGTTTTGACATCCTCATCTGTGCCATCTGTAGTTAAAACGATGCTGCCTGGGTAGGTGAAAGAGACTGATTCCTTTAGATTCCTCCATTGTTGGTGATTGGTGTTTGCTGTTGTCGGTTGGGTATCTTCATCACTTCTGTATTCTCTACGTTTACCTGAAGAAGTCCCGTCTTCGCTGTCTGTTCTGCCAGCTTGTTAAGCTTCAACACTATGCTGCAGTTCTTTATTCATTGTTTTAATTTGTATCGATTCGTGTATTGTACTAATAACGCGTAATAAAGTATTTAAAAATATTGAAAGCCCTACTATTATTATTATCATCTTATGATAGTATTCACCGCAGACTGACAGCAGTTGGAGAACCATGGAAAAAGTGGGAACACTGGACAGCTGTACGCATCCACGACACCACCAGAGTTCAAACTCATTTACTTCAAGTCTGGTGGGGAAAAAAACTGACCATTCTGATGAGAAGCTATGACCTGTGGGGCAAACCAGTCGTAAGTTAAGCGGATATCAACTGAAGACTTTGGAGGATAGTCGCGAGTCCAACTCAGTGAGGCTGAATGATTAACGCATTCGCCGCAAGACCTGAAGATCTTGAGTTCCACCCATTTTTACATACTGCTGAAAAATCGTATACTGGGAAGAAACAGCTGTTCATTATTCCCAGGTTTTAAATTGATTTCAGTTATTGATGAATACCAACTTAAAAATAAACTCCTTATATACCTGAAACTACATTATTATTGTTATTATTAATGTGATTCAATCCGGTACGTGTCTATGCAATAGGCTATGACCCACACTTGATATGCGATGGCTAAGGACACTAACTGCTTCCCAAGACCGAATCAGACGCAATGGCATTGGAACCCGGTATAAAAGCTTGAAATTCAAATACCTGAGCCAACAACCCACATCTACTGACACTAATGAACTCACCAGTTCTACCCTGTATTTTTCGTGCTTATTTTATATTTCGTTATATATTTGTACTGAATATTTACGTAAAATGATACGTTTTTCTGAATTTTATTAATACTTCATGTGTAACAACTACTCATGATCACACCAATAGTTTCAATTACTTGATCACACATTTGCTGATATACATCAATTTTATCACCATTCAATGCCATCAGCGAATATTTGTCCTCACACCCAATGCAACAAGTCATGGCGTCATATTAGAATTAGCGGAAATCGATCTCGAAGCATATCACTAATGCACATTAGGCAGTTATTCGCAAAATGATGTAGATTATTAGATTCCAACCCAGTAAGTGAACAGCGAAATTCTTGTGGCAACATTTGATGGTCATTGGATCGACCCCTCAGTGTACACTGCTTAAGGCGAAACAGTAGCAGTATTTTCACGCTTCAATGGTTTTCCAAATGACATCATTTCGTCACCAATACTATTTTGAAATCGATTAGTCTCCAAAATCTATCAGTTGAATATATCGTTTTCTTTTTTGTATGTTCGTCATTTCTATTCATTGCTGTTTCATGCTGCTGACAATTGTACTCAGTCACCTTTGCTGTATGTGTTAGAGGTGATATTTATTCAAACTGGATAGCTTATAGGAATTCGAAACAATTTCATCGATAGAAATTTATGCATAGAATGAAAAATATACCATTTTTAGAGGAACAGTAGATTGTAAAGTCCAGTATGAATAAAAAACAAAGTTTTATGACTGAATTCCATTTCCATATTCATAGTGTCACCCGTAACACATGTAACAAAGATGACGACTTAGTACAGATGCAAACAACATGATACATAGTGTTGGATAAACAATGTTGAATGTACTAAATGACAACACTACACATATTATATCTATCTATCAATATGTAAGTAAAAATTAATTCCATCGATTGATGCGATCACGTAGTTTCGATGGGAATATTATCAAAATTGGAAAATTATCACTGTTTCAACATAGGTA